GGAAAAGCAGCAGGCTGCCTTCCATCTTCTCTTTATAGTCCATCCAGGCTAGGAGGCTATTGTTTGCTGCCACCAACAACCAGGATGGTGCTTCCCTCTTCCGTAATTCCATCCCCAGCAGCCATGCAAAACCAGTCACTGGCCTGATCCAGTTAGCACACCGTGATGTAGGCACTTCCCCAAATCCCGACAGTGAGTGCATAAGGCTTTAGGGGGACAGCACGTTAAAAGCCATAACAGAGCTCAAGGCAGAGAATGAAATGATGGGGAGTGCAGCAGTTTGGAGCTGAGGGTGATGAGAAGTACAGGGAAATGAACAGGGACACAGGCTTTGCTGAGGACACACACCCAGTTCCAGTTCATTGGCCAAACTTGCCTGGCTTCTCAGTTCCTGCAAGTCCCTCACTGGCCTCATCTGACCAGAGCCGTGACTTTGTGTTTGGCATGGAGCACAGATCACTGTAGAGATTTGGGGCAGAGCCAATCATGCAGGATACGGTGACTTGAAGGATCAGTGCCCTCAGCAAACACCATCCCGGTTATCATCAAATGCTGAGAGGAATAGTGGAGCTAAACTGGCTCTCTTACCTTCACGTCATTTCTAATGCACCCCACTCATCACCCTCATTCATGGGAAATAACTTTTCTCTCTCTGCAGGAGCCACACCCCCTTGGAAGTCCTCTCCTTGACTTTAAGTCCACTGAAGGAATGTGACCTGCAGCATCTGTCCCAATGTGCAAGCACAAGCCAGCTGAAGTCCCTTAGTCTCAGGTGGATTTCAATGAAATCATTCAGTTCTGAGACCCTTCCAGTTCTGATAGACAAACTGGCTCTCACCCTGGAGAACCTGGTCCTAGAGCACTGTGATATCACAGACTCCCAGCTCCTTGCCATCTTGCCTGCCCTCAGTCGTTGTTCCCAGCTCAAAACTTTCAGTTGCTATGGGAACCACTTCTCCATGTACATCCTTCAGCTCCTGCTGTATGTAACTGCTGAACTGAGCCACTTAAACGAGGGGCTGTATCCTGCCCCACTGGAGAGCTATGAGTCCAGTATTCCAACAAAGTTTGTGCACCCTGAGCTTTTTGCCCAGGTCCGTGCTGAATTAACAGAGGTTCTAAATGTCATCAGGCCATTTCTCAGGGTCCAGATCTGTACTTACTCCTGTCATCTGTGCAAGCTATGTCATTTCTATCGCCTGGAGCCCAGTGGAAACTGGGAAGTCACAGAGGAGTATCGTCACCCAGGTGTCATTAGATGCTACAGCTGTATGCATCCTCAACTGGATGATGGTATATTTTTCATGTAGATGTCCCTACAAAGCCTCCTGAGTTCCCAGGTGGGGCTTTTCTGAGGTGACTGCATCATGGGGGCATAACACTCATCAGTGGATTAGTCCACTGAGTTTATAGTTTAATGTTATGTTGGGAGGCAAAGCCTGCTCAGAGGAGGTGGGTCACTGGGTGTGTAGCCTACAAGAATCTATCTCTCCTCCTCTGTGAATCTCTGCTTCCCACAGCCGGATTATGAGGGGTGTTTCTCCTCTGCCATGTACCTCTGCCATGCTGGCCTGTGAATTGAATTGTAAGAAAAAATAAATTCTTTCTCTCTGTAATTGTGAGTGTTTGGCATTGTGTACCAGTGACAAGGGAGGTAGTGAAGATGTGCATGTTAGTCCTCTACAGAAATTGTCAAGTGGTCATAAAGGGAAACTTGCTAGATATGAAACAATACATCTGTAATCCCAACACTTCAGAAGCCAGCACAGGGGGATCCCCTCAACTTTGAGCGCAGCATTAGCTACAGAGTGAGATAGTATTTTAAAAGCAAATACATACATAGATGGACAGATAAAGGTAATCTTAACGTGAACTCTTTCATGAAGACTCAGTAACTGCCTCCCTGGCACAGTCCAGCTGTGCGGGGTCCAAGAAGCACAAGAACAGACTGACATGGGTTGAGAGGGCTCAGAGAGCTCTGAGCTCTGAGCAAAGCTTTATTGTACAGCAGCAATTTTTAAAGGCAGTTCTCAGTTGGCAAAGCATCAGACCATACCACATGACCTTCTGTTAATTAGTTGGCGTAGTAACTTATCAGAAAGCAGTTGGGTCATGGCCACCCTGCAGGCAAGAAGAGGGAACACAATATTTTTCTCATAACCTAAATTTAGGTAGAGCAGAGAACATAAACGAGTCTTGGCCTATGTCCTAGACTGCTCAGGCCACCACCTGGTGTTTTCATGTCCTTTTCACAGCCAAAGGGAGGGGTGCGGCCAGCCCAGGAGAGCAAGAGTTCCTCTCAACTCTACATACTTGTTGATGCCAAATGAGTTCCTGTGCCTGCAACACCTCCCCAGCCTGTTTTATTTTTTAATATTTAAAAAATTTTTTCTTTTTCCATGTTGGCAGTACTTAATGATCATATTTGTCATAGGAGTTAGTATATATGCAAAATATCTACCTCTTTTATGTTCCATGACCCCCTATTCCATGTCTTTGTCCTCTTCCAGTTGCAAGTTTATTGTTTGAGACAGGGTCTCACACAGGAGCTAAGTTGTCCAGGCCAGGCTCAAACCTGAAATCCTCCTGTCTCAGCCTCCGGTGGTGCTGGGATTACAGGCACACACCAACACACACAGCTTGGCTGTCCACTTTGTCCTCAGCAATTTCTAATGTTTAGAAGGGGAAAAAAGCCATTGGGTTGCCTCATCTACATGGGAATAGGCCTCAGGGTCTCGGGGTACCAAAATAATATGGTGCCCTTCAGACAATCCTTCCCTTTTATCAGTTCTTGGAGTGAAGACCTGGGCCTCATTCTTACAGATTTGCACTTCCAGCCACCTTCCCTTTTGTTTCCTTTCCTGGGCACATCTGTAACCTTCCTGTTTATTTTTGTGGATGTTTCCAGAATGGTCCAGTCCACAGCCCAGAGATTGGCTTCACTCACTTGGGGTTCTATCTACGATGCCCACAGGCTCTCCTGTCCTGATGATATTCCATTCTGGGGACAGAGCAGAGTGGAGTTATCCATTCATCTTCCGAAGCATTCCTGGTCAATTCCAAACTTGGGAAGTGATCAAGAGAGCAGTTAGGAACATCTGGGTGGAGCTCTGCTCACACAGAAAACACCTAAGAGCTCCATTGCTGGGTCATGAGCTAGGATCTATGTCATGACTTTACCCATGACAACCTCACCTGTTAGAGTTGCCCCAAAAAGGGCAGAGATGCTCTCTAGGGCCCTGTGAAGCAGAGCCTTGCTTGGAGCCTCGCAAGTGGCAGTTAACTGCTGCTGCCCAAGGTGGCTGGGGATTCTCCAGGGTCAAGTCATAGCCACCAAGAAGCAAATTTTCGTGAGTGAATATCAGCAAGCTAAAAGTGATGTGAATAAGATGGATGTAGAAAATGGAGCACTTGTGATGCTATGGACATGGCTCAAGTGTCATAAAGTCTAGAATTCACTAGGGTGGACAAACTCAGTTTGGTGTTCATACATTCTCTGCCAAGTCATGGAGGACAATATTCCAAATGTAAACAGCCCTGGAATCCACACGGAGTCAACATCTTCCCTGTACGCCAAGGCACTCTCCAGACAGCCCAGTTTACACTGTCTTCCGGGTCACTCTCACTTCCCATGCATGTGTTCATACTGAGTCCTCTGGTTACTTGTCCCCTTCTAGAAATGTTGTCTAGGGTACCAATCATAATTCTCTTCCCATTAAGTATAGGTCTTAAAGGAATTGTCTTTATACTTGCCAAGCATGGTGGTACATGTCTGTAATCCCAGCAATCTAAGGGACTGAAGCAATTCTGTCTCAAAATAAAGAATGCAAAGCCAGACATGGTGGCACACACCTTTAATCCCAGCATTCAGGAGGGTGGGGCAGGAGGATCAGGTGAAGTTTGAAGCCAGCCTAGATTACATACAGCCTTCAAGGCCAGCTTGGACGACATTGGGAAAACATATCCCAAAAAATCAAAGAAATGAATATTTTTAGAATTAAAGAAAAAAAATACAAAAATAAAAATGAAACAAACTGGGTTCAGTCAATCCCAGAACTTTGGGCAGGTGAGGCATGCAGACATCAAATTTGCACTCAGCCCAAGCAATGCAGGAAGTTAATGAGAGCATGTCGCAAAGTGAAAATGACAAAAAGGGAGAAAGATGTACTCAGTGTAAAGGCCTGTTTTTAGTCAGTAGTGCCAGAAAAAGAGA